ACGGCATGAGGGTGAGTAAATGGTGACAGAATATTAATTTTTTTGGTAAAATATACCTTTATTTTACATGAAGCAAAAAATATCATTTAAAGCAAGTTACCTCAGGTGAATAGGGTAAATATTGTAACTAACAGATATCATACTTATCCAGCTCAGCTACTTGATTGCATGAAGAATTGCAAACTTTTTGTATTAAACGTTTCCTAAAATGTTGTTTGAATATGCAAATGAAGAATTAATTAAATATGCACTAATTTACAGAAATTTCCAGCCAGTTCAAAATTCTTGTTTCATTTTGTTGTCATATTAGAGTCAGTGGTTTTTACAATCAATCAATCCATCGATCGATCAATCAATCAATCAACCAACATTTTGGGGGCGAATAAAATGTATAAAGTCAAGCTAATTGTGTATGAACAAACTTTCAGAATATTGATAAAACAGTAAAGTTTGATGGTTTTGGAGATTTTGGCTCAGTACATGAAAAATAAAATAAAATATAAAATAATAAATAAAATAAAATAAACACTTAAATAATAAAATAAACACTTGAAGGAATATTTCACCCATAAATAAAAATTGGCTGAACATTTACTCACCTTCAAGCCATCAGAGATGTACATGAGTTTGGGTAACACTTTAATTTAAGGTGTCCTTGTTACACATGTTACATGTACTTACTATTGTAATAACAATAAATTATGCATAATTACATGCAAGTAACCCTAAGCCAAACCCTAATCCTAACCACATAGTAAGTACATGTAGTTAATTAATATTATTCGGTACTTAAATGTATAATTATACTGTAACAAAGACACCTTAAATTAAAGTGTAACCTGAGTTTGTTTCTTCATCAGAACAGATTTGGAGAAATGTAGCATTGCATCACTCGCTTACCAGTGGATCCTCTGCAGTGAATGGGTGCCATCAGAATGAGAGTCCAAACAGTTGATAAAAACATCCCAATAATCCACAAGTAATCCACAACACATCAATGAATGTCTTGTGAAGTGAAAAGCTGTGTGTTTGTAAGAATCCAATCCAATACAAACTTATTTACATCTTGGATGGCCTGAGGGTTTTCAGCCAATTTTATATATTATTGAACCACTTACAGTATATATTTGGATAAAAGCGTCTGCTAAATGATGAAATGTAAATGTACATTTGTGTACATTGTGTGCTATTCCTTGAAAAGTATATTTTAGATGTTTTATTTCCACTTGTCTGAAACAACACGTTATGAAAAGCCAAACAACCCAAAATCACAAAATTGGTATGAAAAACCATGTTTTTACCTTTAGTGTCCTGCCTTAAACTCGAGTGTCCTCTTGTGAAGCTGAAGAAGCTGCACGTTTCATAAGTGATGACCCATTTCATGTGTACTTTTTGAACTATTTGTGCACTCATCTGAAGCAATGCAATGACCCAAATCCCTGCAGTTCAATGTTGATGAATAATGTGTACTCAGTTATTTGCTGGCTGCGACTTGCCAATAGTATTTGTGGAAAGAATGCTAAACAAAGCATTACTACTTTGGGTATCATATTGCATGAATAATAAATCAATTTCAACACAAATGGTATAAATATTCCTCATTCCTCGCACGCATAATGCAATATCATAAACACATATGTGGAGGTACTATATACTAGCCACGCATTTGCATTTTAGATTCATTATCCTACTCATTAAATGCAGCGGTGTATCTAACAAGTATGCGGCACAGATGATTCATGATTTGCAAACTGACCAAATAATAGGGAAACTCATCCTCTGTGAAATGAGAGATAGGTGTGGCCTGAGGGAAAATCTACAGCCGACCAATTGCAAAGCAACTGTTATGTTGGCTGGCAAGACAGAGGTGCCATTCCAAACTCTGATTGGCATGATCCAGGAGCAGATGGTGGAGGGATGGCATCCAAAACTGGCACCCAGAACATAGCATGGCTCTTCGACAAAAACAGCAAAGTCTGTAAAAGTGTAAGACAAAAGAAAGGCTTCACGGAGATCCGGAAAACTCTAAGACAGAGGTGCCATTCCAAACTCTGACTGGCATGATCCAGGAGCAGATGGTCGAGGGATGGCATCCAAAATTGGCACCCAGAACATAGCATGGCTCTTCGACAAAAACAGCAAAGTCTGTAAAAGTGTAAGACAAAAGAAAGGCTTCACGGAGATCCGGAAAACTCTACAACTCGGAGACGCACTGGGCTGCTTTATTGTTAGCACAGAACGTAATTGTATAAAATATATTACATTAAACACAGTAATATCAAATTAACTACTTGTTTTGACATCCTATTTGTATAGTTAATTTGATTGAGAAAAGTAGAGGCAGTATTATCGTGTGAAGTGGTCGTTGGTTTTCCTGTTTGAGTTCTTTTGGCTGTGTTGATATCAGCGAAATGTATTGCGTGTAACTTTCACACGCTATAATAAGGGCCACACATGGCCTCAGACGAAACCTCAACGCTTCTGGGAAAAACCAAGTGTTGTTTCCCTGTTTTTAATTGCTACTTCAGTTGATTTGTCTCTTTGTTTTGCGTTTCTTCACTAAATCATGCTCCAGACATGTTTACTTGTTAAACATACTGGGATTTGCTTCGTGATCGTAACACTTTTGGAGCGGGAATCGGATTGAACTGACAAATTATTCAGCTGTGGAGACGTCTCCCTTTAGGTTGCCTGAGCTTTTACTCAGGTTTGATGTTGAGTTTGAGTGAAGACTTCGACCTCAAGACAGAAAGTCACTGAGAAAAGGGCTTTAAATCATGGAGCTTTATCCTGGCAAGTAATTTGACAAAGCTTCTAGGGAAAACACTGAATGAAATGACTGAATAGAGCCCAACAGCAAAATTAAAAGTGTATCCTCGGCAGACAAGAGTGGGATTCCCATACTGCTATTAAACATGATTGTGTGTATTTGTATTTTGCAGGGACATATATATATTTCAACATCTGCTTTCTCTGTTTTTATGAAAGTGGAGAATGTATTAGAAAAGAAAGTATTTAAGTCACATTGGAACTTTAAATCAATATACTCAGAATTGACTGCGGTGTCAGGGAGTTGTCCAAAAAAGATTCAAAAGCACAGCTAAGGGGAAAAAAATGCCTATACTATAAAAAGGTTTACATAAGTCTGACAGCTTATATCATATCCAGTCTGGAAAAGGAACCAGTGGGGAAAAATAATGAAATAAAAGTTATCATCAGGAGAAAGTAATATAATTGTTAGCAATCACTGTTCCTGTAATATTCCATTTTCTAATCTGATTGTATTCCTTTTAAAGTATTAAATTGCTCTGAAAAATAAATGTAATAAAATCATTTTTCACCACAAGTAAGAGCAGGCAGGGATTAAATATCCTGCGGCTGTTTCAGATGTGGAAACAACATTTAATATAAATGTATGCTTGTAAAAACGTTCAATCAGAGCATTAAGCATCCATTGATCGTGATGTTAAAGTTAATACTTTTAGACTCAGTTTGTTGATGAAAAGATTCAATTGTTACAGACAAAAGCAGTATATTTCACAGCTGAAATGTGTTGCATTGACATTGAGAGGCTCTAATTATTTCATAATATTCATGTCTTAGGCATGATGTGCAATGGCATATAAAGTGTTTTTTTTTGTACAAAGCTGACTATTGCTATTTTAAAAATAGCAAGAGCTAGCAACTGTAGAGCTGTTCTGATTTATATAATAATTTATTTTAGTTTTATCTTTTGAGGCTTTTAATGGAAATAAACATTATTTCTTCACTATTTAATTCTGTTACCATGATTTAGTGAGGAACAATAAAATTAAAGTTTACTTAAAATTACATTGTTAAATAAAAATAAAATGAATTAAAAAAGTAACAAAAATACTTTTTTTTCTAATTGCAGTGTTTTAAATATAACCTTTTTCTTTTTAATGAATGTATTGACCTCTAATGTTAAAAAAAAAAACATATTGCAATAATTATGGCCCCAATCCACTTTATTCATCTCCTGTGAGTGTTTTTTTTATCGGTGCTTAAGTGATGTTTACTTCCTTTCTAAGTGTCTCTTGAAAGTTGTTCCAGTCGGTTTATGAATGTTGTCTGTCCCAGGCTCGATCAGCCCCTACAGGCCGGCTCTCCACCCAACAGCTGCTTAGACTGGTTTAAAAGGCCTAATATGACAGCATGCAGCCTACGTACAGAAAAATGAATATTAATGCAGTCAATGTCTGAGAGCTACTTGCTCATTCTGATGACAGTGCAGCTTTGTGAATTAAATGTGAAAATAAAAGATTCCAGGAATTCAACAAATAACAGAGTGAACATGGGTAATATTTTACATTATTGTCAAGCTACATAAATATTACAATTGTGATGAATAGTTTCATCGTTGTGGTATAAAAGCATATTTGTGCCCATCCATTTATCTTATAGATGGTCAAATCTATGCTCAATATTGTGTTTTAGAGTTTCTTTCTTTTTACAGCACTTTTTTGTTTTTATAACGTAATATTTGTGACTAAAAATGTAACATACGCAGCAATTAAACATGCATTTTCAATTTTAGTGTGCAGTTTGTTTGTTTTTTTTACTGCGTAACACAAAGTGTGTCTGCAATTAGCTCACCAAAGTAGCTTCAGTATACTGTATGTTATTAGTATAATTTAGTTCTTGTACGCTGGACAGTGTAAGTTTAACCATAACATTTATTTGCCCAAGCAAAACCATGTGTTTATTCTTCCAGCTGTAGCTCAGGCTTTCTTGATGTGACAAATGTGTAGAGCTTAGTGCAGTTTTTTAGGCAAAGTAAGTGCATAAATTCCGCTATGTGATGTATAGTAGCTAGAATTTGATGAGCTGCCTCATGTGTTTTTGTCTTTCCTTCGATTTCCGAGAGATGACATGACCTCTGTTGAACCTGCTGGTCTAATAAACGGCGCTGTCTGGTGTGTAGGACCCAGCGAAAAAGGGAAGCTCCCGGTGAGAACTGAGGAGAGAGACTTTGCCCCCTCAACAGCTATCATGGATTGCAAAACCTTAATACTTTTCCTTTTTCTCTTCACGTTTATTTCCAGCGCAGAATTCATTATTCATCCGTCCAATGAAGGTAAGATAACGTCTGGAGTGCGAGACATAGGCTATTCTACCTCATCTCTGCTTCTACTGTAGCCTGTGATAGACTCTGTCTTTACAATTGACTTGCGCTGGACCAGACGGGGTTTTTATTCTGCTCGGCTTTGACAGGGAAAATGACATGATACCTGCTTTACCTCCTAAAGCTCATCCAATAAGCCGTGGCGAGTTCGATTATATTGGTTAAACGCTCGCTCGCTCGTTCACTTTATATCAGAGCTGCTGCTCCAAATGAACCGAATCAATAATATCGCAGTTCTGCGTGAGACGCATTGAATTGCTTGCGCGAGAAATAAGCTAGATAGAAAGATGCCGCTGCAAATTCAACTTTTAGTGCTGTTTATTGTTGCTTGTTAAGGTTACTTGAGCTGCGTGATAAAAGCATGTTTTTGAAACGATCGATCGGTTGGGAAAGCACGAACGCGCAACGACTGAGCGCGAAATCCAGTCCGAAAATCAACTGGTCATACCGCATAATCTTAAAATAGGCTATATATGTAAAGGCTCTTTGTGCATTTGATGCATTTTTAATTTCTTCATAATTAAGAAATTGCTCAATATTTTGTGGTTATCTTGTATGGAGAATAGTTATAAGGCATGTTTACATGCGCTGTAAGTTTGTGCGCCGAGTTTATTCAGTTGCACTGCGCTTTTGTTGTAATACGTGAAATACTTCAACTTATTGGATATACTTTGCTTCAAATGCGCCCTTTGGGTAAGCAGGCTACAATCGGCTGTCTGACATATTCAAATATCCAATATTCTTCTTTATTATTTTTTTTTAATTATTTTAACTTAAAGCACACGTTGATATTAACGTAAAGCATAGACATAGAAGTGTTTATATTTACTGTTATAAACTGCTTACAGCTGCGGTTGATTTTATGAATATCACTCAAAAATAATAGGTTACATTCGAGTTTATTGTTGCCGACGTTATTCCAGTTTATTCCAGTCTAATGCTAATCACACGATTAGTTATTAACTTAAATATTTTTGCACATGTGTTGACATCTTATATTTAAATTTTCAATCACATATGAGCTATTGGATAATCTGTACAACTACAGTAAAGGCCTACAAACTGATGCCATTTCAAATAAAGTGATCAAGTGACAGTACAATCGTTTTTAAAGTCAATAACTTTAAAATCCTAAGCATGTCAACTCTTGAAGCCAGCAAAGTTAGGTACAGATGCGCTCTATATATTTTTTTTTAACATGACAGTTGTTATTTCTAGGACACTGTATTTGTATTTTGACATCTAAACGTCCTTTGTGAAGCACTTTAAAAAGCGGCGGGGTCGAGATGTAGAGGCCTAAATAAGGGGTCAAGTCACCTTTATTTATATAGCGCTTTTAACAATACAGATTGTGTCAAAGCAACTGAACAGCAGTAGGGGGTGTGTTAAACACCCATAAATAAGGGGTGTGTTTTATTTATTTTTATATTTGCTTTATATGCGTGTTCACCCCGTTTTTATGTATCTTATGAATATCCCTAACTGTTTTGTTCACAGTGCATTGTTTGACCCGTTCAGAGCTATAAAGTATGTTTCTATAGTCGCTCGGGGTGAAACAAAAAAGAGAGACATGAGACTTTCTGTGTAGCCTATAGCCCGTCTATAGAAGTTTCCGTCAGTATTGTCACATATTCGATATATAGACCTGTTTATTCGCATTCCCAAATCTTCAGGTGCTCTTATAGCCTATATTTGGCCTAATTAGGGAAAAAAAAGAGACGGAGACATTCGTTAATCTCATTCAGTAGCCTAGGCTACTATTATGAAGCGATACAAAAGATGGAAATATTCGTTTAGTGGTGTGACTTGATGTTCGCAATGAAACACATTCAGGTCAATTTGCTATTATTGGGTTTAGAATTGATATTTTTGTATCAGAGTGTAGATCTTTGTGGAAAGATGTGTTTACATGCTGTCAACACGAAGGTGGACGATCTTTCTGATGTTTCACGACGTTTTAGCTGTCTGTTCTGAGGAACAGAGCGGCTTTTCTCTCTTATTATGATTTATGGGCTGTGAATTACCTTTTGCTGAAAAAAGTATGTAATGGGACGTGTTTTTCACCAGAGAGTGTCAGTATAGAGCCGCAGCTATTGATGTCATTTGGAGCCAAGTGCTTTCTTACAGCTTGCTGTCGCCTAATCAGCTCAGCTGTGGTGTTTATAATATCCTAACATGATCTGAATTAATAAACATAGTAGGTTTATTTGTTTTATTAACTAATATTGGACGTGTTAAGCGTCAGAGGCCAGTTTGATGACCTCTAGGTAATCACGGCTCACCTCCCGAAATTCATGCATTGACGCATCTCGATTGAATTATGATTTGATTCAAAAAGTAGTAGTTCAACTATACATTTCAAGTTCATATCAACCCCCTTTCTTAGAATAATACATGTACACAACGAGCATTACTTCAGAAAAAAAAAATCTTATGAGACTCATAAATCCTTTCAGAGTCAAATATGTGACTGAAAAGTTATAGCCTATGTCGATGCGAAGAGAGACTGAGTAGCCTAGCCTATTTCCCCCTTTTTTCAGCAAATAAACTCTAGTGGAGTTTGAAACATATTCATCTGTATTTATTTATTTCATTGTAATAATATTTCATCACAACTTTTCTTGGTTAACAAATCCCATGGACCTGGTTCTTGACCTGACACCAATGACTTTTCAGTTCAGGCTGAAACGGGCCGATTTACTACATGGGCCGTGCACTTTAACCCTTAACATCAGGTCGTAAAATAGGAATAATAATAATCAAAACTTTAAAGTAAAGTCTTTATTGCATGTAATGCATTTTAATGACCAAATCCTTGTGGAGCGCACCTCATTGCGACCTCATTCGTGTCGGTCACCGTGTGTGTTATTAGCATATGCGTGTTTAAAGATAGAGGATACAATATATGCGTATAAACACGTTACTATGTCAGTTTAATTTAATTGAGCAAAATTAAGCATTGAAATACATTTTAAAAGCTACAGCTGGCGTTTTTTTTTTCTATAAACGATTAAAAAGTTGGGGAACAATTGAAGTACTGAAAACTCTAGGCTACTTAACCGTAGCCTACAACATCTAAAAAAACACACACACACCTACTTGTACTACTACTACTACTAAATAAATAAATAAATATTGATTGGCTGATCAGTTGACCTCTGTAATTTAGGTATGTATTTTCTGTTCTGAATATCCAAGCAGCACAGTAATAGTCTAAAAATATTCTTGACTATTTTTACTGCATTTATCCTATAGGCTGTGTTTGAAAACAACAAAGGAACTTGAGGCCTACTTACACTGTCCTGTAGATGCACACAGCATGAAATCTCACTTTTTTTTTTCTCACAACAAAGTCTTGTTTATCTTTTTTTCTCTCTTGGGTAATTTATTATTTTTCTAATTTTTGAAATACAAATTATGTTCTGTTGCGACTGCTAATTGGTATTCATACTTAAAATATACAAATTAAACGTCACTGATTTAAAGTTTATTTAATAATAAACAGTGGCACATTTCTTAATCAGTAGCAGCGGGTTTAATGCCATTATATTATTTTTTTTTAATAAACAACACATGGCAGGAAAAAAAAACGGAATTGATATCATCTTTTTTTTTTGGATCTGGGCACACTGCCTAGTGAAACATACTTCTGTTTAAAGAAGAAAATTAATTTCTCTGCCATTTAGCCTGGCCTATGTGAGTCACGTTTGTGGTGGGTAAACCTTTGGGAGCAGTCTAGTGTAATGCATATCGCCTATCCTGTCGTCCGTATAGGCTACTCACGACAGACAGATTTCCGAGCATGTGGGATTACAGCGAACAGTTGACCACATCCTTACACGCCGATTTCAACTAAAACAACACTGAACTATCTCAGGAAATCTTCCCAAAGCCCATCAGCATCAGCTCCAGAATAGAGCATCTGCCAAAAACATAAATACAGACGTAAACGAATCATTCAACACAACTACGTTTCTAAGGTTTCCATTTTCTAACTTGTGGCCAAGATGGCGCAGTACGCAAGCCACAGCGCTCCTCTCGCTCAGACTACGACATGGTGTGGTGTGATGTCACGGTGCACTAGTTTCCAGACGGGACGGCTGATGTTTTTAGACGTTTGGAAATTTGCTTGCACATACAATCGCATCCAATGCATACCGTATCATCAATATAACCGTAACGTGTGTGGTTGTGCTGATGGGTGGATTTTGGACGGAGATGGTGGACAGAAAATCTGCAAGCATTCGGAGGGGCTGAGGCAGACACCCTGAGACTCGACTGAATTATTCATGGCGTAGAGGTTAATACTTCATTGCCATCGTGCCACTATGGGCGGAAGCTTCGATCAAGTTGCAGGACCTGCAATTTGCTATTGTTTTTCCATGTGTTTATTTTTGGTTTTTCGGATAGTTGAGTTGGGGAATTAGTAAACGCAAGAGCGCCAAATCCTGACAGCTCTTGAATCGAAAACCCAAAATGTGGTTTGACTTGAAAGGAAGCCATAAATCATAAGACTTACAAGTACTGACCTCTTGGTTTTGGGCTCCGTGGCGACCCTTGGTGAAGGTATAGGCCAGCTGCAGGGGAGGATCTAAAAGGGATCATTGGAGCAGCAGTGGATATTTTGGACACACATATCGTGGCCTCTTGTTCTCACTCGAAAATCCTTTGAAAATAATCCGCTGTGTTTCTTATACACCCACAGTCAGATTTTAATAAAGCCAGGCATCAGCTCCTCTGCTCTCCGAGGACCCGGCGGTTCTGAGGTGTTCAGACACCTGACTCTCATCTTAATTCAATAACAGATTTAATTAACTACCTGAGAGGTGAAGAGGACGGTGAGGAGAGAAGGCAGTGTGCCATTTACGAGCCATATGGTTCTCTTAAACCCATGCAAATCTCATTCAGATCATAATCGACAGCCGTGATCGCAGATATGTGTAACGTTAGTGGCTATTTTCGGCGAGTGCTGTATGCTATTCGCCTGAAACACAGTGAGATCCTAAGAATTATGTGACAAGGCAGTTGTAAAAGGGCGATTTGTAACACACTACATTTCTTCACAAACAAGATGTTGGAGCGATGATACTAATGCAGCATGTGACTTGTTGCCACATAGCATCCACTTTTCTTTTAAGAGAATTTAAAATAAAAATATGTACGAATTTTATTTTTATTTTATTATTTTTATTTTATTTCCCCTAGTTAATTTTATATGTTCCTGCATTCCTGCTCTGTAAATATAATGTATATTATATAAGGTAAATATAAATATACAAAAAAAAAATTTGATTTAAGTTGCTTAAATTAATTTTCACAACAGGACATTTCAACTCACCTATAGTATTTAATGTAAAATACCCATAATATTATATAAAAGTGAAATTATGATGCCTTTGACATTAAATAGCCTACTATAAGTAAAGATATGCATTTAAATTAAAAGGCATAATTTCACTTTTATATTGTATTATGAGTAACTGACATTAAAAACTGTAAGTATATATATCTGTTTAAATTATGTTACCCATAATATAATATAAAAAGTGAAATTATGATGCCTTTGAATTTAAGTGCATATATATATATATATACTTACAGTATTTAATATAAATTACTCATAATACGATATAAAAGTTAAATTATGATACATTTGAATTGATTGCATATCTATGCTTAATGTCAATTACTCATACTACAATATAAAAGTGAAATTATGATACAATTGAATTCAAATGCATATCTACACACAGTATTTAAAGTCAGTTACATATAATATGATATAAAAGTGAAATTATGATGCCTTTTAATTTAAATGCATGTCTATACTTACAGTATTTAATATCAATTAATCATAATATGAAAGTGAAATTATGATACATTTGAATGTAAGTGTATATTTTTATTTCTAGGTTGATTGATAAAGGTAATGGGGCATTTTCAATTCAGATTTCTTGTCTTTGTTAAATTCAATATTATGATCTCAATGTAAATATATGTGTGATACTATTACTCTTGGCACTTGTACATGTTTATTATACCATAGGTTTGTAGTAATTTGTGAGTTGTAAAGGAAAATGCGAATGAAATTACAATTGCCTCATACTGAAAGTTGCTAAATAAGTAATTCGTTATTAGTCGTGTAACCATTACATTTCACATTGAGCTGTTCTTAGATAGTTTGTGAATGAAACATTACCATTGTCTTTTTCACACCACTGTTACTGTGTGCGATCAATGTGCCATGTGCTGATGAAAGGAAAACAATAGCTAGTAGTGCAGGGATGATACAGTAGAGAGACTTGGCGGCCTGTGGTTGGAATCCTAGATTATTGTCTCGCTCCTGTATTGATTTACTTATTTGGTCTGGTGTGGTTGGTTGGATGAGATGGCCATTAGATCAGCTGTTCATAATCAGCCCTCTGTTTTGTGCTTGATGCTACACTTTTGGTAGAGAGGGTGGGAATGACGTTGGCTGTGATTTCCTTCTCTTACATCTGCAGAATTCGCCTCACCCATGTAGCTTTCTAATTTAATGGTCTCAAATTTCCCTGGTCGGCTCAATTTGAGATGCGGGCTCGGCTCATTGAGAAATTTAAATTGGAACCAACGGAGCTGGATGTGAGCTGCCATTATCTGACATAAGCAGATAGCTTTATTATAGTTAATAGGGATCATCTACAGTTTGAGAACAGCCAGCTGTTTTGCTAGCGCTTAGGTGCGCTGCCGTTTTCTGCTGGAATTTGATAATGGGGTCTGTAACAGACTGATATATAGACTAGAAGTCAAAATTATGGATGCACCTGACTGAATTTATATTTCTCGTGACATTAAAAATATTCTCATCTCCCATGGAAAAAATTAATAAAAATAAAAATAAATACTTCAAATTATACACAGGCAAATATAAATTGTCCATGTATGAATTTCTTTACAAAATAAAATTTAATTTAATTTAATTTAATTTAATTTAATTTAATTTAATTTAATTCGTAAAATTGCCCTATCGTATGATATTCTGTACAAAATTAAAATACAATTTTTTTTTGATAATTCGGTCAAGTAGATGCTATAAATGAAATCATTCATCTAATTGTTTTCATTTTTCTTTTTTATTTGTAATTTGATGAATGAAAAACAATAGACTATTCATAACAACTAAGCAAGTTTTAAAAAAAAGTTGAACTAATGAACTAATATTAAACAGGTTATTTTGGCTCAAAATTCACATTGTTCCCATCAATATTCCATTAAAATCTGCTTACTTGTCATATTTTGGTCTCTAAAAATGTCATAATTTAATTTAATGTAATTTAATTAAATTTAATTTAATTTAATTTGTAATTAAATTAAATTACATTACATTTATTTTAATTTAATAAATAGTTCAGTAATAATGATTTATAATAATAATATTATAATAATTATTAATAAAGTAAATAAATGATAAAGGTAAACAATGAAAAGTGCTCAGCATAAATGTGAACTTCAGTAAAAATCTCAAATATTAGATATGAAAAAATTTTGGTCACTAAAATATTACATTTGACCAGTGTTGTTGTTGTTGTTATTATTATTATTATTATTATTATTATTTCCATAATTAAAATCTGTTATTTTAACATTTTGATGACTTCTATTGTTCTAAAATCTGCAAAACAATAAATGCGTCAATAATAATAAATGTTGAAGAATGAGCAAGTGTGTCCAAATTTCTGACTGGTACTAGGAACAAATGTCTTATGTTTAGAAGGTGTATTGGACCTGACTTGGACATCATGTCACGCTTTGCGATAAGAAAATAAATACTGGCAATAAAGTATATGTTTCTAGGCTCTTTTAGAAAAGAAAGGTTTATGTCATCCATGTCCCATATGTCCATTTGTGGTTTGGCTGGATGTTTTCTGGCCGTCGCTGTAGGGAGAATGAGTGACACAGCTATTAGTAGGGGCCATAGACGCCATGCTGCGTGGCCCACATGTCAGCTGGGATTATGCGTTTACTGTACGCTGACGGAGGCTTTTGTTCTCTCTCTTTGTGCCTGTAGAAGCCTTGCTCAATCAAACAGGAGTCATTGTAATGAGAGCAGGAGACACTGAGATGTCAAGAGCTTGTCACGACCGTCCCCGCTGTAGCACGCCATGCAGCCAGCCAGCCATTTTTAATAATGCAGTAATATTTCCTTGCTGTCATCTCCCATTGTTTTAGTCTTCATTTTCCGTTGTTTTATTGTTGTTTACTTCATTTTAGTTGATTGGATTGGACAAGGATTTGATATTGTGTTTAATAAAAATGAAAATATCTACACAAACAGAAATAAATATTAAATACAAAGGCAGATACAGATTAAACAGTGTACAAGTTAAATAAAACAATCATAACACAAATAAAACAACATCTGAGAATTTTCAAATGTTTATATTGCATAAATTAGAAAAACATTAATAAGCAAAATATGAATGGCAAATAAAGAATTTGTCCTATACATATATTTGTTTTTGATTTATATTATTTATAAATAAATAAATATATGTTTTGAAATGTGGTGAAAACAAATATATTTTATATCTCCAAATAAATAACAAAATAATTGCCTATATATATTGTTATCTATTTTATTTAATCTATTTATTTAGGATTGACTAAAATCATATGTTATGGTATGATTAGTCTTATATCGCATTATTTGGATTTATCATATATATCATGTAGTTATTTTTGTATAAATATTCAATAAAATAGTGAAATAGTGAAATACAAATTGCAAAATATATTGTTAGGACAAAGTTAACTGCCAAACTGTTTTGGAACAAAATGTATTGTGAAAAAAAAGGATATTTTAAAATTAAATAAATGTTTAGTAATTTCATTAATTAAAGTTTTTATACCAATAAAGTTATATTAGTGAGAAAATGTAGCATTTTGCTTTGTTTTGAGGTGACATAGTTACGTGTTACATTTACATTTATAGTTTTAACAGTAAATTATGCAATAATTAGTAACTAACCCTAAACCAAACCCTAACCCTAATCTTGCAGTTACTCAGTATTTATTTTTGTAATTACACAGTAACAACATCACCTTAAATGAGGGTTAAATGTATAAAAAACACAATCATGTTCTAGCTGTAATCTTTATCCAATCTATAATCAACACACCGCTTTAATATATTGAATCCTTTCAGGCGGTGCTTGTCAGATAAAAGAAACCATTTGTGATTTGTTCGCTTTGTTAAAGATGTCTATCAGTGAAATAATACTCTCAAACACACAAGATCAGCGATGGGTCAGCCGTTAAAGATCCCGTCATGCACGGGGTAACGAGGGTAACTTTTCTCTGGCCGTTAAAGCTCGTGCGGCTAACTGAAAAATACTGGGTTGAAGGATGAGTTTGTTGACTCTGTTGTTTGTTTAATTGGATTGTGGCATAAAGCAGTGCAGCTGAGTAAATACTGTGTTGATGGGGACGCTGCACACTGAGAGGGGGTGAAACCGGATCTGAAAAGGGCTAACTGCTTATTTGTTTCTCTCCCCTTCTCTCTTTTCTACAGTGAACCTTTTGGACTCCAAAGCAAGCCAAGGGGAGCTGGGCTGGATATCATCCCCATCCCACGGGGTGAGTGCTGCAGACCTAATCCATATTCTTTAGTGGAAAAGAAGAGAACAGAGATTTTGTGCTGTGAGGATGTTGTTGGGGAGCCAAAATGTTGCGTGCAGTTTTTGGGGCATTTATTATTTTGAGTTCAGTTTCAAAAACTGATATGATTTTGTTTGGATAATTTTGCAAAATATTTAGGGGCTTGAAAATTATTGTGTATACACTAACATTTATTAAGAGTTTAACTGATAAAATTAGAATTGCATTGCATTTTTAATTTTTAAATACTAATGTATACCCCTGAAAATGTATTTTTACCGGTGAAAGTCTGAAATGATTATAATTTGTCTGTGTTTTTTTTTAATGGTCTTTTATGCTCACCAAGGCTGCATTTATTTGATTACAAATATAGTAAAAACAGTAATATTGTAAAATTTGTTTGCAATTTAAAAACTGTTTTCTATTTGAATATATTTTAAAATATAGTTTATTCCTGTGATGGTCAAGCTGAATTTTCAGCAGCATTACTCCAGTCTTCAGTGTCACGTGATCCTCCAGAAATCATTCTAATATGCCGATTTGCTGAAACATATATTATGTTTCTTATTATTTTCAGTATTGAACACAGTTTTTGAAAAGAAACCTGAAAAGAAATAATAAGAACCATTATTAATAATTGGGCACCAGAAATAATTGATAATAAATGAGTGTCAAATATTAAAATCATTAGCACATTTACATATATCAGCATATGAAAATGATTTGCATAATAGACTGATTTCTAAAAGATCATGTGACACTAAAGACTGGAGTAGTGATGCTGAAAGTTCAGCTTTATATAACAGGAATAAATTACAATTTAAAATATACAGTATTCAAGTAGAAAAAGTATTTTAAATGTAAACAATATTTGATCAAATAAATGGTAAGCATAAGAGACTTCTTTCAAAAAAAACATAAAAAGAAAATCTTAATTATTCCAAAACTTTTGACCATTTATATATAAAAATACAGACAACATATATTATAAACATTAAAAGCAAAGTATGAGAATACTAAGACCAAAGATATGTTTTTCTTGTCAGCGTACAGCAAGTCAAGGTACTTTATTTGTGTTGTCAAAACCTCAAGGTCGCAGCTTCCGATAATAACCATGTTTATTTGTCGAGCTGCACAGGTATTGGTCTCAAGGGTTACTCGGACCAAACCGTTCTTTAAACTGTATTATGTGTTAAAATGACTTGCTGGCAGTTGCTAAAGGTAATCCAGTAATTTGTTCCATATAGCTGCCAAACCTTGTTTCCCCTCGTTCTTTTTCACTGTTGGCACAGTAAAACATAAAGCTTCCCTTTCTTAGAAGCAAGGGAGAAGAAAACGAACAAGAAAAAACATGAAGCAAAAAAACAAAAAGGTCATTTGCATCTTATATTAAGTGCTTTTTAATGTAGAGTGCGTTTATGGAAAATTGAGTAATTGCACTAGTTTGCTAGATTCATTTCTAAATGTTCATAAGTTCAACAGAGAAAGCATCGTTAATCTGTACAATAGCCATAAAGGTGATTTAGAATGAAAAAGGAAATCCCTCGCAGATACGCGCTGAATGCTCTGGGATTTATTAAGTCGGCGTGTAGCCTTTGTCGCGATTACAGCGAAGATCAGGTTCTCAAGGTGAATTAACTCTAATTACTCAGGACTCCCTAGTTTGGAGCGATAAGCATTTTGCCCTGAAAGTTATGCCCTCAAAAATGATTTCAAATAATGTGCCGCCGCAGCGCTGACACTGACGGATGGGCCGCCCGCCTTCTGCCAGTGTAAGCACAAATCGGCCCGGTTAAAGCAAATTAAGAGCTAAAGCACATCGGACGCTCCCTGTGCGGCCGCTCGCTCAGATAAGGCCAGTAAATATAAACCGGCCCTGCGCAGACAGCTCTTTAAACACGCAGCACTGTTTATTACAGCCTCTCCAAATTGCATCAGGCCTCAGCCTGGGATTCATTACCCAAGGCAGTCGGAAAGAGCGACTTTGCTGTGGCGTCTGTGGAGATGCCGATTAGAGCTTGATTGGTGGTTGAAGGTTTGGGGTTTGGAATGCCTCGTTTCTCTAAAGCTGTTTTAGCTCAGGAACAGAAGGAGAAGTGCAAATGGATCTCGAACACTGGCTTGGCTTGGCATTGTTTTTAATTCCATTTAAGATTTTTGAATGAATAATAGGATTGATCTGTCGCACTGGGAGTATTGGTCGCTGTGCTGGATCGCAGGCCAGAAATGTAAATATTCTGGGCTGCAAATATTTTTCATTGTTTTAAAATAATTTTCTTTGGTTTGGGTGGCAGAACTAGTTTTTGAAGTATGTAGAAATATCTATTCATACAGTGTAAAATCTTCATTTAGAATTGATTGGTTTGACTAAAATTATGGTATGAGTAGTCTTATATCATGTTTATTGGATTTATCATATGTATATCATGTAGTTATTGTAGTATAAATATTCAATAAAAATATTTAGGGGAGAGTGAAATCTTTTTTTAGGACAAAGTTAACGGTGAAAATGTTTTCGAACAAAATGTGTTGTTAAAAATGCAACACAAATTAATTTTTAAATATATATATATATTTAGTTTTGCATAATATTTTACTTTTTCCTCACACTGTATATTTTAAACAAACTATATATACAGTATATATATATATATATATATATATATATAGTTTGTTTGTTTAAAATATATAGTGTAAAATATATAATGTGTCACTATACACACAGACAGACAGATAGATAGATAGATAGATAGATAGATAGATAGATAGATAGATAGATAGATAGGATAATTCAGCAAATCTAATGCTACAATTCTTAATTTTTCTATTTTATTTGTAATTCGATGTATGCAAAACAATAGATTATTCATAAAAACTGAATAAGTCATCTGTGCTGAGTTAAAAATGAAAACTCAAAGCAATACAACTAATATAAGACAGATTGTTTTGACTCAAACTTCATCAGCATTCCTTAATAACCTACTTCCTCATCTTATTTTGGTCTCTTAAAAATCTGGAGTAGAAGCCAGAAGATCTGCTGTGTCGTAGCATAATCGACTGAGACAGAACAGGCAGCAAACACAAAATTTTCATTATGCGTTTCTGAAGTCACACTCTGCCAGCGCCTGCAGCGAAAGACAATATTTCCAACATGATGCTAAAACTCATTTAGTCCCCCCCCGAAAGGAATCTGTGAAAGGTCTCCAGCTGTACAAAGTGCAAAGAAAACCCCCTCTATAAAGGTGGATTAGCACGTCATATGGCCGCAGCGGGGTGAACGGGCAGCACACAATGTGTTATGGTTCCTCTGTGGTAAAAGCTGTGATGAAAAGGTATTGACTGATAGGGTACAGTTGTCGTTGTGACCTAGTGCAAGAAATCTTAGATGGTGAAGCACTTGTCATTTCTAGTGTTTCCTGCTGTATTGTGGGAATGGGGTGGGCTCACGGGCCTCACATATAAACATAAGTCTTTTTCAGTTCTCTTTTTGGAGTGATTTGTGTCTTCAATTTAGTTTGGAAGCTGTATTTCTTTGTAATATAATATGGATGAGTTTATGATTCTTGAACGGTTTTGGTAAGCTGATTTGAAACTAGCTTCTCAAAATACAAGCTGCACATAAATTAAAGTAATTTAGTAAGCTACACTTAAGTAGTTAGCAGCACAACAACCAATCAATCAAACCAATCAAATAGCTATCTACACTAACTCTATGTAGGGTGGCAATATATTTGTTTAATTACGTCAGATAATATATTGTTAAGCTTTCTTTCTTTCTTTCTTTCTTTCTTTCTTTCTTTCTTTCTTTCCTTATTTCTTTCCTTCTTTCTTTCTTTCACTTGTAAAAAAAGAAGTGTGCTTAATTGTACTGAATGTGCATTAGTAGTGTTCTTCATCTCTTTAAAGTATACTTTAGAAAACTGTACTCGCAGACAATAGTAAATAAAAGGAATAAAAGGCCACTTATTTAGTTTAATTGTATTTTTTAAATTGTAATTTTTATGGTCAATATTTAAAGTCAATATATTTTAAATGAAGTAAATTACAACGTAATCATTATAAATGTGTAATTACAAATATATTTAAATACATGACATAAATAGAAATGACATTAATCATTTAATATTTTTATATTTACCATAAATGCTTGTCAGTACATTCAGCAGTAAACTTTAACCATATTTCAAAGTCAACAGAATTATGAAATGACATATGAAGATGTAATTAAGTCCTATTTAAGTTGGTCAAAAAGCACTCTAAAGTTCAGCTAATTTCATTTAATATAAATTTAAACTATAATATGTTTTCATTTAATTGCAAATAATGAAATTAAGTGTCTGAACACATTACATTCAGTTTGCACTTAAGTATATTCTTTGGAAGTATATTATTTTCATATTCTTTTTAAAGTACTGGTGTACTTTTTTTTCACAAGGGGTCAGAGCAGTGTTTATTTAGCTAGCATTTTGCTATCTTTTTTTTCTTGACCAATTTGTTTACATGAAGTGATTTCAATAAAATGCATAATACTTCCCATCTGTATATGCGAGAACATTTCTCAACAGTGTGTTCGAGCATTAAATCATTTTGCGATACACTTTGACAAAACCCATTGATCTAGTATTTTGTCACTGCTACTCGAAAAGCTACTGTTATGCTACCGAAAATTGTAATTAGGTTATTTGGGATGCTATATTAGTTAATTGCTCCCCAACACTGTTACTGAGTCGGTAAAACCAATGTTGAATTCATTTAGATGGTTTCCAAAAGAGAAAAAAAAATCGCTAAGGACGGATAACAAAAGCTAGCATTAGTTTATCTCTAGTTAAATTGTGTCACTTACACTTTTATTCCACTCAAGCTTTGAACAAAGTGTATTTGCAGTGGTATCGAGCCCTCAGAGCACAGTTGTCTGAGCTCAGTCAGAGCTTTGTTTGTGTCAATTAGTACAAATATGTAGTTGACAGCGAGCAGCCATCTCCTCCAGATACTCATTTCCTTTGCTAGATCTCCTGTGAACACATAAGTGCATCTTTTCCTCCGTGCCCGCTCCGGCATCCCGGCGTTCAGACTCTAATGGAGTCCTCGCGAACAGAATCCACTCTAATTTTGTCCGTCATAATGAAGAGAGCGAGATTTGATCGAGAAACCGTGTGCACCCATTCAGGAAATGTGCATGCGATGCCAGCGAAAGCCAGCAGTATATGTCAGTCTTCGCTAACTAATGCAATTCCATTGTAATACGAGCGAGAGGAGGATTATAATTTTATTACATATCTGTCTGAAACATAAGCTCTGCTCCACTTTGTCCACAAGTGCCAGGGAATCTATTAGTTTAAAGAACCAGTTGGCCTGTGTGCACACTGAGTGTACACAGGGGGGAGTTGGGCCGCAGCCCTGCCAACTGCTGATTTCCTCGTTTCTCTGCTGCTTTCCTTGCTGGAGGGGGATTACTATTGTAAAGTGATATTCGGAGAAACCTAAAGTCATCTTCGGTCTGCCCGTCGAGTGTAAAGTTGCAAAGCGCAAGGCTGACGTCTCCCGCTGTGGAGAAGGAAATACAGATTGGTGTCCAATAGCTCTTGGAGAAATCAATGTGGCCTTTAGAAGCTGCTGTCCATAAAAGAGATATCCAGACAGGGCTTTTACAGTTTTTCCCTCTCTATAACCGGGTGGTATGTGTTATAAAGCAAAGTTATTTGAAAGAGATTGGCTTGGTCTATGTTGATGTCATTCATGGCAGCAGACAGTCCATGTAATACACTATTCTCAAGTGTGTGTGATTTACACATCGTATATGATGTTTCATTTATTTTGGCAGCCGTGGTTGCAGTACAGTCGTTCTCTATCCAGTTTGATAATGCGGTACAACCCAGGCACCTGGACTTCATTTGAAGCATCGGCTATGCTGGTGAACGCAAGTAAATAGCTCACAAAATGCAGCTGAGACAAATGACCGGCTAAAATCTCCACTGATTTATTTCAATTTGCATCATATTTGTTCACTTCGCAAGTTCATAAACACAATATCAGAAGCAGATTCCATTGTTCTGTAATCATAACACCTCATTTAGATCCTGCTTTATTCCAGATTTACACAGAATCGGGAAGCATGTTATTCATAAAATACTGTACTGCCTTTTGCTTGTTCGTTTATTAAATGCTTTGGCTAATTTAATAATGCTTTCAGCTAGCAGTTTAAGTGCATTGCTCTCAGCTCCATTCAACACATTTTATCATGTTTAAATCCATTCTGCAGAATTCCAATGATTTTATCTTAATCAGCTTAAAATGTGAAGAAGAAAAAAAATGATTTGGACTGGCCTAGCTATCGCTTAACTGTTGGTGAGCCAGCTGAAAAGAGGTCAAGGTAAAACTAATTCTGGAATGAAGTATAAAAAAATAAAAGTAAAAAAAAGGCATGAAAGAAAATTCACATCTATTGTCTAAATTAATGTTATTGAACTTATTGTGAAAGATCCATCCATGCATGTGTTGCAGTTCATTAAAAAAAAAAAAAGCCCCGCCCTTGTCTTAAAACTGTAAATATCTGGGTGAAATATTAAGCCACATGACCTGAGGCAAAGTAACATTAATTTTTTTATGACTTTTTTTCCATTGTAGTTTATGCACGTTGTCTTAAGTATGTAGTATTCACATACTATGTACAGTATATATATATATATATATATATATATATGTGTGTGTGCACTTTAATTGTGCAGAATAAGTAATACATAGTCAAATAATAAAATTATTAGTTAATAGTGCTGAAGTTCAACATAAGACATACTGAAGTATATTTGATTGTGCTAAAGTGGAACTATTGCAAGTTTAGGTTCACTTTAAATATCTTGCTTTTAAAGACCGATATTATTCAAAGCTCATACAATCCTCATCAATAGTGATATTAAAACACATTTTAGGCTTAATATTAAGAAATGTGCAATGTACACAAGTAGTACTTCAGATAAAGTTTAATTATAATTTTCAGATCAGTAAGTCTCAAGCGATAAGTCAGTAAATATGTTAATAGATTTGAACTATGTTTAGTATGAAATAAATGTATTTTAAACATATTTTACTAGGGTAAGTATGCAATATCCCAAAATGTTCATTAAAATATGTGGATGGCATGCCAGCTGTCAGTGAGTTCAATTAGTTTGCTTTACTTCCAAAATAAAGGCTGTGTATCTAAACAATAAGATGCAAAACAATATATTAAATTCTTGAGATCTTAACAACGTGCTGAAAAAAAAGCTCCTTTTGGGATGTTTCATTAAGCACCCTCGCAGTTGAAACACAAATAGGCAATTCTTCAGTCTGAGGGCACACTTGTTCTGCTGGGTAATGAACAGCTCGCAGCCACTCCAGAGGCCTTGTCTCACTCAGCCAAGGGCTTTTATAAACTTCAGCTTGACGGAGAGCCATATAGTACTCCATTATTGTAAAAGAAAACACTGCCTCTCAGTTCATCATTTATTTTGCTTTGTGTACGTTAAACCTCAAGACTTCTGGCCGCATTGTGGCTTCGGACACCCTTAGTGACAAAACATTATTATTTGTCAGGCTCGCTTTACAAGGGAGAGAACGCAGAGTGGAGGGCCTCGTTAATTATGTCCCACATTAATTATCCAAACAGGGGAGATATTAATTGGAAACGATTCATTATTCCAAATGTGTTTGAGAAATAAATAACCTCGCCTCTCAGGTGTTTTACATTCGTCTCGGTTCCGTTGAAATGCAGGAGAACAGTAGCCGTTCGTTTCTCTCGGAATAGATATGATTAACTTCTTTCTCTTTTTGCAGTGGGAGGAAATTAGCGGCGTGGATGAGCACTACACACCCATCCGGACCTTCCAGGTGTGCAACGTGATGGAATACAGCCAGAACAACTGGTTGAGGACCAACTGGATTCCTCGCAATTCTGCACAGAAGATCTATGTGGAGCTCAAGTTTACCCTGAGAGACTGCAACAGTATTCCCATGGTCCTGACCTGCAAAGAGACGTTCAACTTACACTACCTGGAGACTGATGAAGACCAGGGAAGTAAGTTTCGCGAACACCAGTTCTCCAAAATAGACACCATCGCCGCCGATGAGAGTTTTACTCAGATGGACCTGGGCGACCGCATCTTGAAGTTAAACACAGAGGTCCGTGAGGTAGGACCCATGACTAAGACGGGCTTTTACCTGGCTTTCCAGGACGTGGGAGCCTGCGTGGCCCTAGTTTCGGTGCGGGTGTACTTTAAAAAATGCCCTTTCACGGTGAGGAACCTGGCTATGTTTCCCGACACGGTACCCACGGACTCACAGTCACTCGTGGAGGTTAGAGGCTCATGCGTCAACAATTCCAGAGAGGAGGATCCGCCAAAAATGTACTGCAGTACCGAGGGAGAGTGGCTGGTGCCTATTGGGAAATGCCTCTGCAACATAGGATACGAAGAACGGGGAGTCGCTTGCCAAGGTAGAGTTTTCCTCTCACATGCACACTTTTCCCCTTACAGTGCCTTTTTCATTTCACGGCCCATTTTCTTCCTTTCATCAGCGTAATGTACTAGCACCAGATCTGTAGACAGCGGCTCTAAATGGGACAACTGAGTGTGTCTCTGGAATACCATTCATTTGTTTATGCTGCTCATTGTCTGTAATATTTCTAAACTCCATGGTGAGTTGAGTATCTGTCCCGTGCTCGGAGTGCAAATCGATTCTTCCCAGATACGGACACACCTCTGATCTTTCAGCCGTGCTTTGGAGAAGGGAATATGAGAGTCTTGTGTAAGCGAGGACAGAGGAGATCTGTGGTGCAGACCCCCTTAAAGGGCAGCTTGAAGCAGTTAAGCTTGTGAAACACTTCTCTGCATCACCTCATCAGACACACAAATAGATGCAAGTTAGTCATTGAAGAGGGATAAGTGTGTGTGTGTGTGTGTGTGTGTGTGTGTGTGTTTGATGTGAAGCATATGAGACTTTCGCTGCTTTATGTGGACATTTTTAGAGTCTAAAAACACAGATTCTCTTTATGGACTCATATTTAAACATTTTCAACTGATGAAAGAGAATCTCTTGGCAGTCTTCCTTTAGGGCCTTTCACACCGCGGGAACCTTTTCATAGTGCCAGAACTAATTGTGGAACTACCCACTTTTTGGCGTTTTCGCACCGCCGGAACTGGGTGCGACTTTAGTACCGGACTGCCTTTTTCGAGAACCAAATTAGCTCCTACTCCGGAGCAGGGTCTAACCAGCACAACTGGTACTAATCGTGACGTAAGTAGACATTGATTGGCGAAACGCGTATGAAAACGCCCTCACCCGCCATGATTTAAAACGCCGTGTAAACATACTGTAAACATTGTGTCAACTTATTTCGCAAGTATGGAGAACAGCGATAGATGGACGGACGCTGAAGTGCAGGCACTTGTAGCAAATGTAGCACTGCCAGTTGTCGTTGTACATTCTTAGTCCTCCTTTCCGTTCTTTCAATCGCTTTACGTATACGTCGACTTTCCATGTCCATTATTGTGAAACCCACGAGACACAACAAAAACACAGCTCTGATCACAGCGTCCTCCATCCTCCTGTTGTTAATGTTGTTCTACGTTTCTGTTGTTGAACGCCGCGCACAAATGACGACGCTTACGTCACTTCTTAGTACACACTCTCGGTGCGAATGCAACCCTTTAAATGGTACTGGGAAATAGTTCACGCAAAATCATCCCAGTACTTTAGTACTGTACATTTAGCTCTGGAACTAAAGCGGTGCGAAAGGCCCTTATGTCTTGCATTACTTTCAGAATATTAGAGTTGTGATGCTAGAGTTTTGGGTGTAAATGTAAATCACAGAGCAGGCTAAAGGAAAATATCTGTGGAAATATCGTACTGTTAGGGGGTACAACATCTTATACCTGGGTCACTCCTAACTATTCACGCCTTAAAGGTTCGTAGTAGTACCCTAAGGTACTACTCTGCATTCTTTCAGTGCATATCTTAAGATACTACCAGTGTAGTCGCTAGGGATTCTGGGCCCATTGCACAGAATGTGCTATATGGGGCCCCCTCAAAGTCACGTTCAGTGGTGGGGGGCCCAACTCAGCTTCTGGTCCTATGCACTCTGTCCCCTTTTTCCCTCTGGTAGCTACGCCCATGGGTGCTACTCTAAGGTACTAATATGCAACTTTAGGGGTAGATAAGGCACAAAGTATTCCTTTAAGGTTACTGTCCCAGTGACAAGTTGTTGTAACTCTAAAGAAAGGGTATCCAAACTTGCTCCTGAGTACCAACGTCCTGCAGAGTTTGCTCCAACTTGCCCCAGTGCATCTGCCTGGAAGACCTTGATCAGCTGGTTTAAAGGTAACTTCAAAAGATAAATTTTTAAAAATGTCCTCTATGTTTGACTCCATTTGGGGTTCTATTTTCATTTTTGAATTTAAGAATACATCCTGAATGTCCCATAAGGCAGCTTGCTTTCCCTTTACAGTATTTGGGTCAGAACCGCAGTACTTTTGCACCATTGATGTGAGTGCAGTAGTTTAAGATTAAGTATTTGTCCCTTTTGAATTTACCGTCCAAACTTTACATGCACAAAACCCCATTCGTGTTTGTCTGTCGCAGATTCTTTGAAGGAATGCAGAGCTTCTCTCAAACAAAATTTATTCAGAGGGGAGAAGTCATGAGAAATAGTCAGGAACATGCTCAGGAATGGGAATGCAATCAATAGAGGTTTAGTCCCACAAGTTAGACTGTTTTGCATTTTGTAACAACTTTGAACTCTACTGTACTTCACATATTCATTTGAGACCACCTTCTCAAACAGACTTGGGGCAAATTTGGAAATCTGTTTTCACCCCAACAACCACAAAAGGCTTTAGTGTGAAAGCATCCTGAGAACATTTTGTCTGGTGTGTAAATGTGTACTGTAGGTCTTGCTGTGGTTGAGGGAGCTGATAATAGATTGGCTGGCAGCTGGCTTGAGCGCTTCAAGTCCTCCCCATTGTATTATTTGAGTTAAGCCATCTCCCTGGAGAAATCACTTCTGCTCTTCATAAAATGCTCTGTGTCTATCCTTGACTCCAGCACTACCCAGAGATTTTTAAGAATTTCGCCATGCTTTCTGTCCAGCTGTACTCATCTTGATGTGAGAGTATCCCTGATTGCCGGCTTGTGTTCAGTTAGACGTCTGTGTTTGTGTGTGTATTTATGTGTCTGTTATGGAACACTACACTGTATGTGGAACAGCTGCAAAATGGGTCATGAGGGTGTTTACATCAAGATGCATCTGAAACTCGCATGCCATAGGCAAAGTGATGAGAAAAACAAGACCACACTACAGTTTTCACTGCTCTTAAAAAAAGTAGGGTATGCTGTTATCCCTGAGATTTTATTAACCATAGCAATGATGGGCTGAACTTAACCTCTTGTTCTAGTGTTATTATTGGCCGTGTAACTGGCAGACAGTGGTTAAATCATTAAGAGTCCGTCACCTCTGACCTTGTGCTTAACTTATTTAAATAATACTTAAAGGTAAACGAGAGTATATAAACTATATATATATATATATATATATATATATATA